AAGGCTGGAATTTATGAGATGTTTGATCTAGGAGCTGGAGATATAAATTTTGGAGTTAATACCACAGAAGCCTGGATGAGACTCACAAAGGAGTGAGTATAGATAGAAAACAGAGTCCTGGGGCACTCACAAATGAATAGAAGGTGGAGAAGATGGAGGTCCAACACAAAAACGCAGAAGAAACATCAGGAGGAGGAGAACCAAGTGAGGAGTATCCTGGGAGCCAAGGGAAGAAAAGTCATGGTGAAAGAAGGTTTAGCATTGTAGAGGTCCCTGGTGACCTTCCTAAGAACAGTGCTGGTGGAGGAGTGAAAAGGAAAGCCTGGCTGGGGTGGGCTCAAGAGAATGGCATGGAGGTACTGGGTCAGTGAGATCTGATGACTCTTTAGAAGAGTTTGCTGTGAAGGGCAGTCAGTATCTTATGGAGGAAAGAGTATTGGAATAACATTGTGTGGGGCACCTTCTGTTGCCCCTCCATACCTACTTTCTACTTTTTTTTTTTTACCTGCTTTATGCCCAGGAAGGTTCTGCTTGAGGCACACCATATAAGTTCTCTGAGCCCCGGCTTCTGGCCACTGGGGAGAAGGAACATATAATGTGAGATAAAGAGGTTAAGCCATGTATCCTTAGGCTTCTTTCCTGCCTCCGTGCTGCAGGTTGGCTGGATTCTCTGCTGAAAGTGACACCAGCTGTCACGCAGCCCTCTCACTTCTACTATTTCTCCAGATTCCAGTAACCATTCCCACTTCTTGCCTCTTTAGCTAAGTGGTAAAAGCTTCTCAATACCACTAGTTTGAGATTACTGCAATATGTCTATATTAGTTTCCTATTGCTATTGTAACAAATGATCACAAACAGTGGCTTGAAACAATAAAACTTTGTTATGTTACAGTTCTTCAGGTTAGATGCCTGACACATATCTTGTTTGGCTAAAATTAAGATATCAGTAGGGCCATATTCCCTCCTATAGGTTCTAGAATTAATTTCCTTGCTCTTTCCAGCTTCTACAACTACCCACTTGCCTAGGCTGGTTGGCCCCTTCCTCCATCTTCAAATCCAGCAAAGTTGCACCTCTCTGTGAGTTTCTTCCACAGTCACATTTCCTTCTCACTCTCTTCTTCTGCCTCCCTCTTCCACATTGAACCCACCTCAATAATCCAGAATAACCTCTCCATCTGAAAGTCAGCTGACTACCAACCTTAATTCCATCTGCTACCTTAATTCTCCTTTATCATGTAACACGATGCACTCACAGGTTCTGGGAATTAGAAAATGGAAATCTTTGGGAGCCATTTTTCTGCCTACCACAATGCCTTATTGCAATAAGTCCTAAGCCATGCCAGCAAGATTATACATAGTTTCTTCCCTTCATTAACTTCTTCTAATAACCCAGTTTGTGTGGGTCACTTATTGCATGCTGGAGACCTAACTGAAACAATTAAAAAAATATGTTAGTGAAATAAAAGTTTATTTTTAAATAGATGATAGTAACAATCCAGTAGAGAGTAAAAAAAAAAAAAAATGGTGTGAGTAAGAGGAAGATGTGCTGGAACAACCTCTTGTGTAGGGGAAAGAACAGGATCTGATGTACATGTGGATAAGCAGTGGGAGCTCATCTGCAACACTATGAGGGAGTAGTTGCCATAGGGGGGCAAAGATGTTGGACATTGTCTAATTTCCTCAAGATTCTAGGAACAGTGAGGAACAAGATCACTAGTGGAAAATAAAGAAGGTGTTGCTGTCAGAGGTTGGGACCAAGAACAAAATTGGAACCCCATCTAGGAAAGTGAAAGAATAAACAGACTAGAGTTTGCATTTTAATGGAGGTGATATTTATTCCTATGGGAGTGAAAATTCCTTTTTGGGGGAGAGGTGACAAATCATTGATATTGCTATATGTAGCCCTCCAAAAGGCCATAACATATGAAAAGATATACAAGCATATCTGTAGTATCAATATTTATCAGGGAGGCAATTAAAAATACCAAAAAGACTCCTTAGGAGAGGTGATAATGAATAAAAGATTGAGAAACACTGGACCGGCACATACTATGATATTATAACCTTAAAATTCTCTTGAAATTCATGGACAACAACTTCAAAAGACAGCAGTTATGGAAATAGTGTGCTTTATTTATTATTATTCCCCCCCCATAATGCTGCACACTTGTGGTGTGGAGTGGGTGGAGTTCTGGATTTCACTATGGTTGGGTATGTGCAAGAAAAGAGGAAAGGGAACTGAGGGAGTGTGCAAAAGTGACTGTAATGATTTCTCCAGGGTTTTCCACTGGGGAAATAAGATAAAGAGCATTCTGGGCTGCTAAAGGCAGATATGGGAGGGTGCTGACCACCGTGGGCCCATGAGAAGTTTAGAAATGAAGAGTGAAAATCCATACATCTCACTCCCATCTTCAAAGAGCATCTGATTAGCTAGAAGCAAGTGAGTTTAATTTTTTAATATAGATTAATTTCTTTAGAATATTTTTTTTGCTTATTTTCTAAAGGAGAGGGAATGATTTATAAGGTTGAATATAATGTGAAGTTTCATATAGAAATAGGAGAGGCAGAGAAGAGGAGCAGATGGAGAACATCCATCTATTAATGTCAATACATTCATTGACTTCATGGAAAAAGAATGACCAAAAAAAAAAAATCCTGAGAAACATTCATTCCTTATTCATAAAGGACTGTCCTAAACATTGCTTCCATCTTGAGTACAATTTAGTTTAATATAATGTCTATTTGTTATGCTGGTGTACAAATTCCTAGTTTGTTCATAAGTCTCTCATATCTCCCATGTTTTTCTAGTGAGACTGAAAGCTCCTTGCTGCCAGTGAATGTTTTCCATATATATTTTTTTAAACCCACAGTAATGTAATAGCACTCCCACCCATCTGAAGGGTAAACTTGCTTCAAGCTTATACACTCCTTATTTGCAGAACTAAGTCCTTTAATCTGTAGCAGAACTAACTTACTTCCCTTGAGATTTTGCAGACCGCTGGCCTCAAGGAGGGAAGAACCAAACTTTCCCAGAAGATAAGGCCTGACTACATTGGAAAACAACTGCCACTGATGCCAACAAGTCTGTTCAGGATCATGTCCACAGAGGACTGGCCCCTGGGTACCTGCTTCTCCTGCATGTAGTCCTCCTCCCTTCTCCTATGCCTTTCCCTTTAAAACCTTCCAGCTTCAGCTGGAAAAGGAAGATGATCTTTGAGATGTTAGCCCACCATCTTCTGAATAAAGCAACCTTTCCTCTCCCACCATCACATGTCTCTTGAGTATTGATTTTCCAGCAGCGGGTAGCTGAACCTTTTTGCAATGGGTTCTGTGTCTGGTAAAAGTATCACCTAGCACATAATCACTCAGACTATTACCTTGACTCCACACCCCCTTCTGTTTGCTGCTTCCCTGTGCTGGTATTCTCATACAGTCAGTTTCAAAACCCTATAGCAGTTTTACTTGCCTTTGAATTTCCTATCCTTTAACATCATCTTTCAGAGAACACCAAGAAAGGAAAAATGGAATCGACATTTGGCATTTAAATGCTAGAACAATCCCCTCATTTAGTTACCCTCCTTTGGGTTGCCTTATATCCAAAGGTCTGCTTGTGCATTTCTACCTTTCAGGGAGCAGAAATACATTCTTAATGTAGGTGCCTCATAATTGGGAAAAAGTCTCTCCAAAACACTTCCCTTCTTGCTGCCTCCACAGATTATTTAAATAAATTATGATCTTCTATTCTTTTAACTTTATTGTTTAATATTTAAACACAGATGACTTTCTCACCTTTACCACCATGACACCTATAGGGAAGTTTTGCTCTTCTCTGTTAATCAGATAAATTTTCAGACTTTTCTTAATGTATAAATGTTCTATATTTTACAACTTTATCAAAAATTCAGACTATCCTTTAAAGATATTTACCACTGATTAGCAAGGTTTAGATCTTAATCTTAGCCATCAGTGAAACAAATTATTATGGAGTTTTAAGAGCCAATAAACTATTCATATTAACAATAAGATCAGTAGAGAAGTTGGCTCCAACCTCATCTGCACCCCACACCCTGGCAAAAGAAAATCAGTTCCAAAATAGTGGGTTATAGGAGTAAATAAATACTCAAAAATAAATAAAAAATCCCCATAAAACAAAGCAAAAAAAAACCCCTATAAAACAAAACCCTTAAAACAGTCAAATACTCTAATAGATGAAACATCTCTTTTTATCTAATTACATACTTTATACTATGCATATAATGGTCACTTAATAAAATCAAATTGGTGGATAATTATTTTGTGTTCAATATGTTGGAAAAGAAATATAAAGCTCAAAATAAGGTTTAGAATAAAGGAAAGGAAGAAGCTAGAAATTAAAACTCAAAGGACATTTCACAGCAGCTTCTTTTATGTGTAGATTGTCAATAATATTTTATTCTTATTATGTATGTGGAAGGCTGTAGAACTCTCATCATTAGTAAAATCAGTTTATGTAAATATGGTCAATAGTGGGAATCCTAGTTAAGTTTGTAGACATGATGCAAACAATATTGAATAAAAAATATGAGACAATTCTCATGATCCTTTTTCCATCCCAATAAAACATTAAAAAATATTTTCACTGGTGCACCTGGGTGGCTCAGTTGGTTAAGTTACAGCCTTCAGCTCAGGTCATGATCCTGGAGACCTGGGATCAAGTCCCGCATCAGGCTCCCTGCTCAGCAGTCTGCTTCTCCTTCTGACCCTTCCCCCTCTCATGCTCTCTCTCTCTCTCATTCTCTCTCTCAAATACATAAATAAAATCTTAAAAAATATATTTTCACTATTGAATCAGTTGTTTTGTCTCAATTATCACCGAGGTATATAATTGCCTTAATAGAATTAGTTAAAACATACACATGATGTGTATTATGGCTACATTAAAGGCATGATTATGCCTCAGGCATCAGAGGAAAAAAGTCAGATTTTTTTTGATAGTTATGTTTCCTTAAATTAATTCCTACCTGCAGATGTTGTTACAATTTCTGTCGTGTTTCTGAGGCCCATAAAGTCAAACTGATAAAGCCTCCAGGATTTCTGATCAGCTGCCTCAACTGAATTTTTTCTCCATCTGTAAATCATCTCTTCTTTGGGGTAGCCATCTGAAAATACAGAATAAATATTAACACTTGAAGACATAGGTTTATTAAATATAAAAGTCAAAATTATCTTTCTGATCATTTAACAGAAGTTAAATTTTAGGCCATATTTGTTTTTGTTCTCAAAAATTTCCTCAAAGACACTAAAACTCAAAAATTAATGGGTAAAGGCCACTCAACCCGGAGTTCTTGCTGCAGATCTTCATCAGCAAGATGTTTCCAGCCACAAGCCTGGTCATTGTGTGGACACAGCATATAAGGGGGCTACTATCTTTATTTCTTTAACCTTGGAGAGCCACTTTTAGTCACCATAGGCTGTGGTCAACTTTCAAAGTGTGGAGATGCTGCTCAGAGTGTTACTTGTTTCCAGACTCTGAGATCTAACTACCTGGCCTATTCCCATCACACCTTCACCCTTCCCCAGAACTTAATCCTTTCAGATCTCAGGAAAGGCAAATTTAATAAGGCAATCACTCCAGGATTCCAGAGGTCAACTGACTCTCAGTCCTGCTCTGACATCAGTCTCCAGTTCTGATCAGTGAGTTTTGACCATTATTAGAGACCAATGCTCATCTTATTCATTCATTACTCAAGGAAGCAAGATGCTGGTGTGTTTCTGCTGCCTTAAGCCTAGTGTGGTAACCTGCCCAGAGCCAGGTGTCATGGACAGGTGTTATTACTAGGGCCGCTTGGGCTCCCTGACCCAAGCCAGAGATTGTCCCCGTGACTGCTTCTCACCTCCTGGATCTCCACTTCTGAATACCACTTGGGCAATACTTGTTTTCTAGAGTACCTGTCTCCAGGCTCTCTGGCAAGGTCTGCTCCCTGGGGCATGCCTCACCTAAGAGCAGGTCTAGAGCCCATGTTGTCACTCAACACATGACAGCATTGGTATTATTAGCCCTTCACTGATTAATATAGACACCGATGGCAAGACTGTGGTAGGAGGAAATATATGCACTACCACCCTGAATATGAAAAACACCTTACTGATACACACATACTTACACAAACATATTAATAGTGGTTGGAAATTTCTAATTAGACATTGCAAAGATCAGTTTGTAAAACTCTTAAAGATAATATGCCTTCCTGGTATTTTCCCTTTCTTCCCATCAGCACTAGCTTGGCTCCCTCATTCAAAGACTAAAATAAAACACAGGTATGCCCCCCGCTTTCTGATTGTGTATTGTTCTGTGAAATTATTGTCACCATTGCTGGGATACCTGCTCTCTTTTAACTTGACAATGTTCATATCAAGGCACTAAGACTCAGCCCCAGACATTTCTATGAAGTAACCAGACATTTTACTTGGTCATAAGCCACTGCCCTGCTTGCTTTATCTTCCTATTAGACTATCATAATCAGAAAAAGTACTTTATGCTGTAATTCTTTCTTTTAATTTATTTTATTAAACAGCTTTATTGAGGCACAATTCACATACATAACACATGCACAGTTCAGTGGTTTTTAGTGTATTCTCGGAGTGGTGCAACTATTATCACAATGTAATTTTAGAATTAGATTTTAGAATATTTTCATCACCCCAAAATGAAACCGCAGACCCAGTAGCAGTCACTCCCCATACCCCTTCCTTGCACACATTGCACACATCACCTGTCTCATCCACTTCTTGGCATCCATTAATATATTTTCTGTCTATAGATTTGCCTGTTCAGGACCTTTCATATAAATGGGATCACACAATATGTTATCTTTTGAACTGATGTCCTTCACTTAGTGTAATGTATTCAACATTCACTCATATTGTAGCCCTTGTTAGTATTTCATCCTTATTTATTACCCAATAATAATATTGGAATAATAATTCACTACATGAATATACCATATTTTGCTTATCCATTTGTCAGTTGATAGGCAGTTTGAGTCCACTTCTATACTTTCTATGAATAATGCTGTTATGAACTTTAGCATTTTCTTTTTTAAATAAACAAGGACTTCTCATATCTATATGATGAGTGGTAGTTTTGCAACTTGGAGCAAGGCCCCCATTGAATTAGGCTATTACCTTCCCACAGAAACTAGGAGATTGGGATATTATCTTTCTTGATTATATTTTAAAGAAATGGCTCCCAGACCTTAAGAAAGCCTTTAAAAAGATTTACATCTTGTTCCAAAACAGAGTTCCCCTCCCTTAACCCAAACTTGTTTCTCTTCCATTTTTCTACCTAAGCAAATAGCAGTACCCACCTAATTGCTTAAGAGTTAAGAACACTTGTGTATGAGATTTTGTGCTGACATAGTTTTCAATTTGTTTGGGTATGTAAATAGGAGTGAAATTGTTGAGGAATAAGGTAACTCTATATTTAACATTTTTGAGAAACTGCTGGACTGTTTTTCAAGGCTTTACTTTAAAATCCTACCAGCATTGTATGAGGGTTCCAATTTCTCCATATTCTTTCCAACATTTGCTAATATCTGTCTTTCTAATTGTAATAGTCATAGTGGGTGTGAAGTGGTACCTTGCTGTTTAATTTGCATTTCCCTAATGATTGATGATATAGAGCATCTTTTCATGGGTTTATTGGCCAATATATGTCTTCTTTGGTGGGGTATCCAGATTTTTTGCTCATTTTTAAATTGTGTTATTTGTTTTCATATTCTTGAGTCTTAAGAGTTATCTGTATATTTTGGGTCAAGTCTTTTATCAGACATATGTTTTACAAATATTTTCTGCCATTCTATGGCTTATCTTTTGATTTTCCTGCATTTTTGAAGAGTTTTGCTAGTTATAGAATTATTGGTTGACAGTCTTTTTCCTTCAACATTTTGAAGCTGTTATCTGTCTTCTAACCTCCATGGTTTCTGATGAGAAATCATCAAGTTGACTCTGCTGTGGATAGGTGTGGATCTCTGAGTTCACTGGAGTTTGTTGAACTTCTTCTGATTGTTATTTTTTCCAATAATTTTGGCCTTATTTCTCTGCTCTTCTCCTCTGGGACTTTCATTAAATGTATATTGGTAATTTTCATGATGTGCCACAGGTGTATGAGTTTCCTCATATTTTTCTCCATTCAGTCTTCATTTTGTTTCTCTTACTAGATAATCTTTACTGGCCTATCTTCAAGTCTGCTGATATTTTCTTCTGTCTCCTCAAATCTGTTGTTTGTAGCTGGCTAGTGACTTTTTAATTTCAGTCATTGTACTTTTCAACTCCAGAATTGCAATTAGTTTCTTTTCAATAATTTCTGTCTTTTTACAGATATTCTCTATTTAATGACACTAGTTGTCAGACTTTCCTTGCCTTTAATTCATTGGGCATTGGTTTATTTTAGTTCTTTGAATGTATGTAGAATAGCAGACTTAAATTCTGTCTAGTACATCCAACATCTGGGATTTTTCAAGGATTATTCTATTATTTCAAGGATTATTTCTATTGACAGTTCTTATTACTCTGTATGTGATGTGCTCTCCTGTTTCTTTGCAGGTTTTGTAATTTTTCACTGGAAACCAGACATTTTAGATAATGTTTTGTGACAACTCCAATATCAGAACCCTCTTTCCACTCGAGGTGGTGGTTGTTCCTGGATTTTTCATTTTGTTCTTGTTTTTCTTCTTGTTGTTTATTTCCTTAGTGACTTTTCCAGGTTAATTTGTAAATCTGTACTCCCCACAGTGTGTAGCCACTGAGTTCCCTGCTATCTTTTTGTTGTTGTTGATTTTATGTTCTCATTTTCAAGCCTGGTCTCCTAGGGTTCACCTTTGGTTCATTATAATTTAGTGGTCAGCCAATGATCAGTCAGAATGCTTCCTTAAATGCCTTGCCTACCTCTGCCAAGGGGATCTGTATGTGAAAGCATGTCTTCAAACTTTAAACAGTTTACAAGTCAGCCTTAGCTTTAATTTTCTGCTTGTACAATTCCTCAAAGCCAGAGGTGAGTAACTGGGGCTTTCTCCTTTCTTAGATCTTTCCTGGGCATGCACACAGCCTTGCACATGTGCACAACATTCTTATAGATCCCTATGAATTTGCTGGAGTTTTTCAAAGTTCTCTGTATCTAGGTCTTGCTTTAATTTTTTGGGGTGGGGGGTGGTTTTTTCTTTGCACTAATTGATATCACAAACTTAGGCAGATGTAACATTGTCAGAAGATTTCCATTTTTTTCTATGATGCCCTGGTGATATGGCTTCTTAAATTTATTTTTTAGCTGAGCTGAGCTCTGAGTCAAATCAAATGTCCACAACACTTTGGGAATGAAAAATTTCAAATTCTGCTAGTTTTGACATAATATTGATGATGCTCTTGGTATAAAGTTCTTACCTCTCCATTCATTGTGAGCCTGCACATCTTCCACAACTACCACACTACTGAGTTGGCAGGGAGGCAGAGAGAAAGGGAATAGTCCCACCTGACATGTACAGGCACTGTTGTCTTTTTGAGATTCAGAAGTTTCTCTTTGATAGACAATTTTCATTTTTTCTGTGACTTTGGTTAATTTATGGTGTTTTAAAATGGTTGATTTTAGTTGCTTTGCCAGTATTTTCACTGCTTCTGTGGGAAAGTGGTCGCTGAGATCCTTACTCCACCACTCCGAAGTTGATTTCCCTATGCCATAATTCTAATAACAATAATAACAGAAACAAACGATGGCTTCTATTTATTGCACACCAATAGTCTCAATAGGACTTTTACCTACATTTTCCATTTAATCTTATCCTGTTTTGGACTGATCTGAGCATTGTAATGTTAAATAACTTGCCCATTTTGATGAAGCTGCAGAACAAACCCAGAGCCTTCTCTTAACTCCATTCTACATGACTTCTCCTTTTACAAAACTTCCATTTTTATTTCTAATTCAGAAGGCCTCCCATTGTATCCTTCCTTCCACAAATAAATCAATACTAATGTGTTGATAAATTTATATGTAACACTTTCAATAAAACGTATTTACATTTAAATTAACCATAGTCTTCCAAAGATGCATGTAATAACTTGATATAATGATGGTAGTTGGGATTTCAGAGAGAAGGTAAAGTGGGAG